ACTAACCTCCAGAAAATTATGGCTGATGCTAACCTCCAGAAGATTATGACTGATGCTAACCTCCAGAAAATTATGGCTGATGCTAACCTACAGGAGAGTGAGTCCACTACTACAATGAAATCAATTAAATTTATAACAACTGACACTAAACATAATATAAATGAAAAGTTAGCAATAGATATCAAACCAGGAAAATGTTATTGTTTTGTACAAGACTAACACGTTCAAACACTCAGTCTCAATGTCTGTGACTTCATGCTAACACAAACATCGACGGCTTCTGAATGGTTATAAAAATTCTATTTTTCATTACTGATAGTCTTTCTTTGTAATAATAAATGTTTAATCGTCTAAGTCAGTGCTTCTTAAAGTTTTTTCATTTATGATCACATTTTTCATGACGAGATTTTTCGCGACCTCGGGTATTAAGCTGAAAATACGTACGTTGTCATTGCAGAGTTTAATAAGCCTTATGTGCCACATGACAAAACTCATCATCCGTATTCTGATGTATAGAGCGCGCAGCGGAATCAGGCCAGAGATAGGACAAGAATAGTGCGGGTTCGTTAAAGACACCGGAACAAAAAATGCAATATTCATGCTCATAATGTTATCAGAAAGAGCAATACAAATACAGAAGGACGTGTACCTATGTTTCATAGACTATACAAAGGCCTTCGAAAAGGTTCGCCACAATGATCTGATGGAACTGCTCAGCAAACTTGATATATTTGGGAAAGATATCAGAATAATCAAGAACCTATACTGGCAGCAAACAGTATACATGGTGCATTGAGAACGAGTTCAGTTATTATACAAAAATAGAAAGGGGTGTAAGGCAAGGACGCGTCTTCTCACCGGACCTGTTCAACCTATACAGCGAGGGAATACTGAGAGAATTGGAAACCCTAGCGAGATTTAGCATTGGCGGCCACAATCTTAACAACATAGGATATGCTGATGACACAGCGTTGATAGCAGACACGGAAAAGAAATTAAAAAATCTCTTACATAAGGTAGCGACGGAGAGTGAGATAAAATGTCTAAGCATAAACTACAAGAAGACAGAGTGCATGGTCATCAGTAAGAGGAATAGCCCGGAATACGATTTGCAGGTCGGGAACACTAGAATCAAGCAGACATGGAAGTTTGAATATCTGGGAAGCGTTCTGACAGAGGACGGTAAATACGACCCTGAGATCCGTAGACGTATTGGAATGGCCAAGGACGCATTCCAAAAGCTGGGCCGAGTATTGCGAGACAGGAGGATTTCTTTAGTCATGAAAAAAAATAATGAACTGTTACGTGACATCTGTACTCCTGTACGGCAACGAATGTTGGACAATTTCCTCAAAGATGAAGAAGAGACACGAGGCGACGGAGATGTGGTTCTACAGAAGGATGCTAAGGATATCATGAACCGATCGTGTGAGCAACGATGACATCTTAGAGAGGATACAAATCAGGAGGAGACTTATACTTAACATCAGAAAGAGGCAGCTGAAGTTTCTGGGGCAGTTAATGAGAAAGGAGGTCCTGGAGAATCTGATACTCACGAGTTGAATAGAGGGAAAGAGAGACAAGGGAAAACAATGCATGGCATACCTGGCGGACTTAAGCAAGTGGATGACAGAACGTGGTCTGGGGAAGGTGGTGGAGAGCCATGATCGGCTACGTCCTGAAAGGACACAGCACATAGAAAGAAAGATGTATATCTCAATCTTATAATTTAATAACATTCGTCACCACGTAAAGGAAGTAATTGCTGCTAAAAATTCCCTTTAATAGTTAATTCATTCAGTGTTGTCAGTGACGAATTTGCACATTGGCTCTTTATCTTTTAGTTACCTTTTAGTAGAGAAATCCTAATAACAGATTTCTTCTAAGGTCGCAGCGGCCTGGTCGTCAATAGTGCATTAAAGTGACCATCCAGCGGGACATTTGTCTTGTCAGTTTTGACTGTTCTTGTACCAGCACTGGTTAGACATGACCAACCTTCACGACTCCTGACACATATAAACTCTCCTTACAACAGGATTCTGGGGATGCTATGTTGCTCCATAAGGATGATGTGGAGAGCCCAACGGATTGTTCCTTGATGAACATTGATTTTTCTAAACTTTTTGTCAATACTTGCAACGCGATTTCATTGAATAATATAGACATATTGTGTCTACTTTTTCATACTGACCCCTTTAAGTTATCTAAATAGTTTCTTGGTGAATTTCATCTTAACATCAAGAAACTGATTAGACAACTGGAAAGAAACAGTATAAAAATAACTACCTCTTTTGGTTATTTTCTCTACATCATAAAGTCAGTTTATGAACCAGTAACAAACGCTTACTAAACAATTTTGTTATGCTTTTGAATATTTACTATACAGGTGGGCAGTGGAAAAAAATCCATTTGAAATAGATGATGACACAAAAATGTTTGGACAACATTCATTTACAGGAAAAACTAGCTAGCTTTCGGGAAAAATTCAATCAGTTAACCTAAGATAAAATTGTATTAATGACTTATATAACGTGAATAATTATTCATGAAAAGCGTTTAAAATTCTGGAATGGAAACCAAAATAAACCTCGAAAAAGTACCTATGCATGTTGCAATTGATAATGTGACAATTAGAAAGGAAGTCTTATGGATTGCGGACGTTGTGCATGAAGATGCAATAGAACCTGACGAAGCCACAAATGGCGATTCCTAAAAAGAGCTTTAGAGACTGTTATCTAAAATTAAAGAGACAAGGCGGAAAATGTGATGCCAACAAGTCTGCAAGACGAAATGCGAGACACTAGGTTTTGGTTTATTTTATCACAGCGCTTCTTAAACTTTCTTTCATTCATGACCCGATTTTTCTTCCCAAGATTTTTTGCGACCCAGGTACTAATCAACTCCACTGAAAATACACCGGTTGTCACTGTACTATTCGCAACGACTCCGCACATGGAGTTAAAATATTTAACCCTTGAAAATGGCTAAATGTATAGCCGAAAGCGTTCGGATAAAAAGAACATTCGGACAGTTTTTATATAATTTATCATCCGAAAAGAAAAAAAAATTATTAGATCGCATGTGAAATTTTATAAAAAACTAAATAAAAGCACCTTTGTCTGTCGTATTCAATGAAATGTGCATATATATATATATATATATATATATATATATATATATATATATATATATATATATTTCAGTTGTATGGATATGAGTTTGTGACCCTGGTTTTCACGCTTCTGCGATTATCAGACAAACTCTTTCCAATAAGTACTGCACATATAAAAATTATATATATATATATATATATATATATATATATATATATATATATATATATATATATATATATATATATATATATATATATGTATACTTTTAAAATCTGGAGGTCAGTTGAATCCGTTATCTTGGTTTCAACCTTACAGTATCTTCAGGCGATGTTTTTTATCAAATGACCAGCTAACGCTTTTTTTATTTTTTTAACTGAAGAACGCTACATTATAATAAAAATGTAAAGTTCTTTAGTTTTTTTATTTTTAAAAAATAATAATAAAAAGTTAAGAAGCAGTCATTTGATAAAAAACAAGGTAACGGAATCTACTGATCTCCTAATTTTTAAAGTTTATATATATATATATATATATATATATATATATATATATATATTTATTAAAAGACATTTTTATGTTTAACGTTGTTAAATAGATACAAATATTTATTTAAATCTGTTTTATGATAAACAGAAAATTTCTAACATTCAGGCCGGTAAATGTTATTTAATACTGTTTATCATAAACAGAGCATTTGCTTAAATACTTGTATCTATAAATAACAACGTTAAACATAAAAATGTCTTTAATAAATAAATTGTCGGACCTTGTCCATTTCTTAACATATATATATATATATATACGATGAAATTAGAATTAAAGAAGTATAACAAATCCCAAAGAATATTCGTTCTATTTCTTAATGACAATTAAAGTAATTTAAGCCCCCACCAATACACTTACAATACACTTGCTTTTCTTCTTTTCCCTCTTCTTCTTTTCCCTCTTCTTCTTTTCCCTTCTTCATATCCTCCTTTCTTTTCTATTACACCCAACGTCGTGCGTTTTATTTATTTTTTTTAAATAATAATGTAGCGTTTTTTCGTTTGAAAATATGAATATAAAAAAGCGTTAGGTGGTCATTTGAAAACAGAAAACACACCCGAGGATACCGTTAGGTTGAAGCCAAGTGACCAAATTCAACTGACCTCCTTATTTCTAAAGTTAAAAACTCTACATCTTATTTTAACATTTTTTTTTTTCACATGCCTATTGAGCACTTTTTAATAATACTGCTTCCTGGTCTGATTCAACTCTGACCATTAACCTTTTATATATATATAAAGAATTTAATAAAATAAAATAAAAATAAAATAAAATAAAAATAAAATAAATAAATAAGTATAATAAATGAATCTAAATCAATAAATAAGTAAATAAATAAATAAAATAAATAATAAACAAATTAAAAAAAACAAACTACGATTGCATGCAGGAACACAAGTAATAAACGTAATAACAATTAACAAACCAATCAATAATATTAGGTTGGTGCAAAAATAATGACGTAAGAATGTCGTTTTTGACGTAAAAAGTACGTCAAAAAACGACATTTACGTCATTTTTTTTTGCACCAACCTAATAAATTTAATAAACCACACTATAAAATAGGCACAAAACTGCATTCGGATCCACAATTATTTCCACCCAGTAATAGGAGAAAATAACGGTTGACTTGAAGAGAGACTAAAATTGTAATGATCGGAGTAACATCCTCTAGGGAATCTGTTCCAGAGGGCAATGGTTCGCAGAAAGAAGCTGATTGTCTTCGGATAAATCCCTACCACGTGATTTCTTAAAATTTAGAAAAAGTTTTAAAATTTTAAATTCATAATCTGATAATCTTTTTACTATTCATTAAGTCTCCCAGATTATGAATTATGCTTACGGCCACATCAGGTTTGAAACACCGGTTCCCGTACGATCACCGAAATTAACCGACCTCGAGCCCGGTCAGTTCCTAGATGGGTTATCGCTTGGAAATATCAAGTACTGTAAGCTTGAATGTGTGCGTCGTGTAATGGTTAATGGCTCGGAATTGTTAACCGAAGAGCCGAGTTATATTCACTTATGGGCAAATAACCTTGGGAAAGTTATAAATCCACCTCTTCTCCCGCCAGTAAAACTTGTATTACTAAAAAAAAAAAAAAATACATTATTATCTTGTAGCGGTTTGAACAGCCTCAATTCAATCCGTACATTTTTTACTTTATAAATATGCCAGCAAACAAAAAGCAAACGAGAAAAACAACACAAAAACTGTTTTTATAATAATAAACTATCTTCATTTTATATACTCTATGACAAGAGTCGGCAACCTACGGCCCGCGAAAGCATTTTGACCGGCCCGCGAGACTGATTACCAATGACTCTATTTTTAACATGAGACACGAGGCTTTCGAATTCGACAAAAGGTCTGCTGTTATCTTCCTCTGATCCACCCAACCGAATTTGAATAGTATGACCGCAAAAACACGATCAAAACCCAATCACCTCCATTTCTTCGTAAAATATAAATAAACATAAAACAAAAACTGAGAGCCGATTTGACCGACCGACCGACCGACCGGCAGCTTCAAAGGGACAATGTTGTCTCAGTCGGCTTTTTATTTCATTCCTCCAACAGCGACCCCCCCCCATCGCTTACCCCTGCCATCTACCCTATGTAAGTTGCTGGAATCTTTCAATGGGTCATGTTCTTATCTTATCATACCCCTCTTCTTCTCAAACAAGAGTCTTTCACTGATTTTTTTGCATGCGGCCTGGCTCGACACAGGCCATATGTCACGCTTTGTAATGCTTAATTACTCTGCAAATAAACTGAATAAAATTAAAAATGTTTTAAATACCAAAATAAAATTCAAATGAATGTAATCAGTGCTCTTCGTATTTACTTATTCAAAAAGAAATAAATTCAGGATTTTGTTTCGTTTTAGTAATTTGTTTGAAAATTGAAAGTAAACCCAGAAACTATAAAATATTTTTTATGACCCTTGGCTACATTAAAAGATAACAAGAGAAAGGAACAATAAAGTGAAAGAGGCCAGGGAGGGACTGACATGCGAGGTAGCAGAAATCTAAAGACAGTTAAACATACGCGCATTATACATACATACCTCATGAATGTGTCGATGATACCGCATGTGTACGTACGTAAGTGTATATGTTTGCAACTATTTGTACTCGTATGTATGGGTATATATGCTTCGTTTTTGTTTGATGTGTGTGTGTGTAGTTCGTTTGTGGAACAATTTTCAATAACAGTTTTAAGCCTACATGTAATAATTTCATCCATTTCACTTCGGTTGATTTTTTTTCACTTTGAAGTATTTTGACGTTCCTTGAGGAAAAGTAATTTTTGTTAGGTGTTTTTTAATTTTAGATTTTCTTTAGTTTTTCTGATTTCTCAATGTTTATTTTCATTATGGTTTTAAATATTTAGGTTGACAGGGGGTCTGCATATGTAATTTTCCTTAATTTTTCATTAATAGCCTTCGTCCGGCCCGCTACCCGTCATTATAACACGATCCGGCCCGCGGGGTCGAATGAGTTGCAGACCTCTGCTCTATGACATACTAAACAATCAAGTGTGTGATTTTTATATAGTAAGTTATAATTAATAGAAGGAGTTATTTCCCTTTAACTTGAAGTTCTTAAAGCATTTTAAGAGAAAATATTTTTATCTAAACTCACAGAAAAAAGGTTTCAGTTCAAGAAATAATAGTAAATTTCAATGGAAAGAATTTTCTTCGATAAGGCGTAGGCTGAAATTCGGTGTAAGATGAGTTCAAATAAACTTGTTGATTGAGAGAAAATGTAATCTTCATTTGAATATCGTAAATTTGTATTTGGTACTAAAAAAAGGTAGTTTTAATTTTAAACTTTTGAGTTGAAATCAGCATAAATATATGGAAGTTTCTTGTTGTTGAAGAAGTAAATAAGATCAGTACATTTCTCGCTGGTGAATATTGACAAGAGGCGAAAGTTGCATTCTCTTGGATGACATGTTTGTTGCTGAAGAAAATCTCACTGTTAGAAATTGATAAGTTTCTATTTCTTGTAGTTGAAGGAGTGAATGAAATTAGTTAAGGGATGTGCAATATTCGTAAATGCGCGTACATACGTGTGTGCGTGTGTGTGTGTGCTTGTGTCATAGCATCTTCATAGCGTTTTCCCCTAAAAGAACAAACGCAATTTCTCCACAGAGATTACATCTTGTATGTGAGAGAAGGCAAAAGAGAAAAACGATATTTAGTTACCCCACCACGAGGACATCATGTGGCACAAGGCCGGTTTAACGTGGGATCTCCGAGCCCGTGGGCTCGTCCAAAAATATGCCCATTGAGCCCGAATAAACGGGTTCAGGGTCTCCCCGAAAGAGAATCCGCCCTTCAGCGTAGCCTCCTTCGGGTTCTTCCCCGCCCGAAGGCAGAGAGTTCAACCGATCAGCCAGTCGACTGACTGACCAACGCAAAAGAGAAAAACAGAAAGCGTTAAAGATGTCGCTTGTATTTATAATGTTGTATGTCACGTGATAGGCTTGAAACACATAGACAGATTTTTTGGCGGTAAATTAATTTTAACCGTACGGACGTAGATAAAAGCATGATATTGACATTAATTGACCAATCAGGAGTCTGAGAAATATCAAGGCTCAGTGATGCACTTTCTGGACAAAATTTGTAGTTGAAGGCAAGTGGTAGCAGAACGATAAAATCTAAAAAAAATTTTAATTTAAAAAAAAAAATTTCTATAGTTAAATAATCTGCAAAAGGTGGATAAGCTATAAAAGACGAATGAATAAACAATTATAAGATTTTGAATTAAAATTTTAAAGAAATCACATCAATTGATTTGTTTTTGACTTTCGTAGGAGAGGTCAATTTACAATGAATTTATACAGCAAACTTGGCCCCCACAACCATTAACTTTATTTTTTTCTATTTTGCATAATATTAGGAATATGGAGTGCTTAATCTAATTGTTTTTTAATCATTTCACCTCAAACAATGTGACAATGTCACGAGAACGCGGGGGTGTTACATAGAGTGAAAGTGAGAATGCAAACAACGAAAATAGGGATTATTGAGGAAATGCCAAAAAGGAACAAGTTTCAAGAAGACAGAAGATGGTGATGGACGTTGTATTTAGATTTTTGAAGATTGTAGTTATCAAGGAAGCAAGAAATCAGAAGGGAGCTCCACAGGTGGGAAGTGCGATATATATATATATATATATATATATATATATATATATATTTTTAAATAAAAACAGACCACTTTAAGGTTCCATGTCATAAATTATTTCACCACTTTAAGGTTCCATGTAATAAATTATTTCACCACATCCCTTTTAAAAAGGACTGCGGATCATCAAACTTTTTACTTCCAAACAAAAAACTGAAGGTTCTGGAGGCACTTTACATCGGGTCCCGCAAGCCTTCTTTGTGCAAACAACGTGAGTGTTTGTTGGGACTCGCTGTCATCTGCCTCTAGTTCCTTCTTGCATATACAAACATATATATATATATGTGGAATTTTTTTTTTTTCCACCTATTCACATTGTACATTTCTCTGTTTTAATTTTGAATCTCCCGTGGAAGCCTGACAAGCGGGAGCGAAACCGGTTGCTTCCGCCCCCTTTGTTGTTGTTTTTTTTATTATTTAATATTGTTTTAATATGTCTTGTAATATTAAATTTTATACTTTTATTTCGATCATTAAATTTTGTACCTACAAAAATATCTTTAAATATATATATATATATATATATGTAAACAATGAAGTCAACACTAAGAGGCTGTTTCATGCTAGACGCAATCGTCAGCATGAAACAGCCTGTCGCCTCTGAGTGTTGACTTCAATGTTCACTTTTATATTTATATGTACATACGCTCTATCTCTGATATTGAGCTCTTTATCCCATAAATATAGCACACCTTTCTTGAAGGCTTCATTTTAGTTTTAATACCAAGCTAATAGATTAAATTTAATATTTCCTATAAAATATTTTGCTGTATTTGAAAAACTAATTTAGATTAACTAGAAAGATTTTTTGTTGCTAAAATTAGTGCCCTTTTTAATCGTCTTTCATCGTAATGTTATTTTCTTTATTAAAAAAATTTTTTTCCAAGAATCAAATATACTTTTCTGAAATTTTATTTGAGGAATATTAGCTGATTTAAATTATAATTAATCTGATTTAAAACAAATATTATTTACTTTAAGTTTAAAATATCACAGAAATGCATGTTTTTAACCTGTCTGTAGCTGTACTGACGTGTTTGACAGCGTGAGAAAGCTAATATTATTCTACGGAGAATTTATCTGTCGTAAAACATAATTGAAGAAAATGACGTGAGCGCCTTTTTTTATATAATTTTTCAATAATCTTTAAAATTTAGGAAAATATTCTCCCATAATCTAATGTTTTATTGAATTTTAGAAATTTAAATTTAATATAGCTATTGCTCTTATTTTCTGATAATGTCGCGAATGACTGTACTTACAAAAATCAGCACGTTTATATACTAATAAAAAAGTTCAAAATTATTTTAAAAATATTGGTGTGTGATGATTTGTATTAAGCTTTTTCATTTATGATTAGTAAATATAGTTATTATATATTAATAATATAATCTAAAAGCTGAAATTAATACAGTATTTTAAATGATTTAAAACTTAATAAATTTTTAAATTAAAATTTTAAAAAAAATGAAAGCAATTCTTGTAAAAATTCATTATTCATCGAAAAACCTTTTTTCTTAAAACAATAGTGTTTTTAATATATCTTATATATAAAAGCAATTAAAAGCTTTTCTAATTAAATAATGCCATCGTTTTATTCCGTTTTATATTTTACGATTCAAATCAGATTTTTGGTAAGTGGTGTTTCTGTTTGACAAAAAAATGATGATTTAAATTTCCAAGGAGTCATTTAGCTAATATAGATATGAGAATGTTGAAATTTTTCGAAATTTCATAAAATTAAATAAGTGGGTGTAACAGATGTAAAAAATAAAATATTTTTACCAAGATTTTCGAAAGACAAGATTTCAAAAATAATTTAATTAATTCATTTGTGAATAAGTCCTGGAAATTTCATTAAAATCAGGCAATTATTGCAAGAATTTCCAAAATAATGTGTTTTTTTTTTTACCACAAAAAAAAAAAAATGCTAAATTTCCCATAGTAATCTTTTTTTTTTTTTTTTTGGTCCATCCGCTGACGCATCAAAAACAAGAATTTTTAACAAAAATTTCGGACGTGCTAGAAAGGATTAAAAAAAATTAAGAAATACTTTGCTCTTCCCTCTTCTTAATAATAACAATGAAACGTTTTTTTTTTTTTTAGTTTTTTGGGGCATTTGTTTCATCATGGTATACTGTTAAATAGCAAAGAAATTATTATTTTTGGTTGCTTTCCCTATTCTATAACTCCACCAAAAACGCGCCCCTAAAATGACCCAGTTGACCTCACTTAAAAAAAAAAAGATTTGTTATAATAAAAACAAACAAAAACTGTTGTGAGTCGTGTATGTACCTGTTTGTTTGTTTGTTTCCACTGCCTGCTTCCTTACCTCTCCTCCGACATAGATAACCTCTCGCTTTCTCTTCACAATTGTTGTGCTTTTAGCTTTGCGTAGTTGATCAAGCTTTGTTTTCAATTCGGCCACTTCCGCTTCTAAATCCTTGACCCTTTGTTTCAGGGCAGCCTGCATCAGCTTCTCGCCCGACGATGTGTGACGATTTGACATTGCAGTTGTTGTCTTAGTTACCAACAGAGAAATTAAATAGAGTTATCTCCCTTGTTCTTTTGATTTCTTTTTCAACAACTACACCAGTGGTTCTCAACCTTTTTTTACCCATGGACCCCTTTCCCCTTCTTTTTATCTTGGTGGACCCCTTCATAGCTATTGGACATAAGAACAATTTTCTATTCTTCACTAATATAAATTTTAAGGTTTTAATTATCAAAGAAATAGTATACGATTAAGCTTTATTTTTAAATGAAAACTAATTTAATACAAATAAAATATTCTACTATAATTATAATAATAATTATTATTACTATTTTTAATTAACACAACAATTGTGTTTTGCCTGTGGACCCCCGGAAATATTACATGGACCCCTAGGGTCCATGTAGACCCCGGTTGAGAACCACTGAACTACACAGAAAAGTAGAAGGAAAGCAAGAAGAAAGGATTAAACATCAACTGCAGGAAGACAGAATGCATGGCGTGTTCACAAAAGAAGGAACTCAAATGAAAATTCCAAATTGGAGATACCAAAATCAAACAAGTACACACACAAATTTAAATATCTTGGAAGTGTTTTACATTTAATTTTTAACAGAGGATCGAAAGTATCCGAAGTAGCATTGGGATAGCGAAAGACGCCTTCCAAAATATAAGCAAAGTATTAAGAAACAGAAAATGTTCGTTAGAAACAAAGAAAAGAGTACTGAACTATTACGTGATATCTGTTCCCCTGTATGGCAGTGAATGCTGGACAATCTTCTTATAGTTAAAGAAGTAACATGAAGAAACAGAAATATGATTCTACAGAAAGATGCTGAGGATACCATGTGACAAATATATGAGTAACAGTGAAGCTTTAGAGAAAATGGAATCAAAAAGGATGCTTAACATCAGGAAGAGACGGCTGAAATATCTAGGGAACACAATGAGGAAAGAAGGCTTAGAAAATCTGATACTCACAGGACAGACTGAAGGCAAGACGGACAGAAGAAAACAACGCATAAGATATTTAGTGGGCTTGAGTAAATGAATGGTTGAACAAGGTCTAGGAGAAATAACAAAAAAGCAAAATTTATTAAGACCTACAAAGGATAGGAAACTGTGGAAAGCCATGATCACAACACCTGAAGGGACGCAACACATAGAAGATGAATAAAGCTTGAGTAAATGGATGGTCGAACAAGCTCTAAGAGAAATAACAAAAAGACCAAATTTATTAAGTCCTACAAAGGACAGGAAATTGGGGAGAGCCATGATAGCCAACGTCCTGAATGGACAGGGCACACGGAAGAAAAAGAATGAAAATGTATATCAATCAGAGGGGAAGCTCACGATGTAACCCACGAATCTGAGATGCCCAAAATTTAAATATGCGGGTTTTATAACGATGGGAATTGTGACACAAAATCCGAAGATACATTAATAGCAAAAGATGTCTTCTAGAAACTATGCCAAATAATAAGAAACAGGAAAATTTCGTTAGAAACAAAGAAAACAGTGACGAACTGTTATGCAATATCAATCTTTCTATATGCCAGTGAGTGTTGGAAAATTTCCTCATAGATGAAGAGGAAGCTTGATGCAAGAGATATGATTCTACAGAAGGATACTGAGAATTCCATGGACAGACTATATGAGCAACGATGAATAAGTTATAATTAAACCCTCTAACATTTATATATCCAAAAATATTTGTAAAATGTGAAACAGCAAGACTATAGGATATTTTACTTGATAAAAAAAAAACTATGAAAAAATAGTTCAAACAAATGTTTTAGTTAACATTTAATTTAATCTTTGCAAAAATCAAATAATTGTCGAATTTTAATGAAACTTTCACGACGGATTCACTAATAAATGAAGTTATTTTAGAAACGTATCTTATTAGAAAATCTTGGTAAAATATTTTTTAGTCGTTTTTCACTCCCTTACTGAATTTTAGGAAAACTTGAGAAATTTAACGTGATAATTTTTAGTGACGAAAATTAAAAAGCAGAATTCTTTGGAGAATTTAAATCAACGATTTTTTTTTTGTAGCAAAATCAGCCTCCATCTTACTGAAAGACAATATTTAGAGAAGTTTCTAATTACTTTTATTAAGAGCAATATTGTCTTAAGAGAAAAATAAAAATAAACACAACGGGCAAGGTTATTTAAGAACATAACTAGTTTTTAGGTTAATGTTTTGTTTTTGTAGCAATTTGCAGTATTGGTCGAAATAGCGTTAGCGTAGTTCAATTTTCTTTTCTCCTGTACTAACTTTTGGGAGAAAACGGTTAAAAAAAAAAAATAAACACAAGGGAGGTAACTTCTACCAACTTATCTGACAATGTCACATTTCTGGCAAATATTTCAACTTCTTATGGATCATTTAATGCCGAAATTTAATTTTCTTGGGAGCATTAGTAATTTCATTTTCAAAAATGTATTACCGGCAATTTTTCCCTTGCAAAAATGTGTTGCTGGCAATATTTTTTTTTGTTAAAAAAAAAAATGTATGCTGGTAATAATTTTTTTGGTAAATTTTCATTTTAACACCCGAGTGCTAATATCCCTTCAAATTTTTCCCAAATAGTCTTATTTCCGTGCAAATGTATATGCTGAACTCAAATCAACAATTAGATATTAAAGAAACCTACCTTTTTGGATGTTAACGAGCCGAAAAAAATCGGACTTTTTCCTGGTCTTTCGTCAGCCATTACCGTCTTATTGATAAGTAATTAAGTGCTGAATTCTGTCGGTGGACGTATACAATTTGGGCCTATTTACTCCCTTCACAGTAATTCCTTGTAGTTTAACTTTCAAATTAGGGTTAGGTGTTTTTTTTTGTTGTTTTTTTTTTTGTTTTTTGGTTATTCTTTTGTTTGTTTTTTTAAAGAAGAAAGTTAACTTTCAAATTAGAGTTAGGTGTTTTTTTTCTTTTGTTATTCTTTTATTTGTTGATGATTACATATACTTGAAAGTTAACTTTATTCTTAAATTAAGTACAAAAAAAATCACTTTACAGAAGTGCGTACTAATTTCTGAAAGAAAATAGTTCAGCAGTAAATGACGCTCGGGTGTTAAAATGAAAATTTACCTTTTTTTTTTTTTTTGTACAAAAAACGTATTGCTGGTAATTTTTTTTTTTTACTATGAAAATTTATTGCTGGCACCTTCATTATAAAAATGTATTTCTACACTTTCATAGCGTTTTGACCCGTGTTTGGGTGTTCATTATTTGCCCATAGTTGACCCCTAACAGGTGCTACCCCGGGTCTGAGTGAACCTGGGAACAAAAGCAATTAAGAGGTGGATCCACTTAGTATTTAGTTTGCACAAAATTTGTCGTCAAGAGAAATATTACATGAAAAATAAACTGAAGTATTTTACAACCAACAGAATTCATAGTCAAATTAATATTATAATTAGGTAGAAGTTGAATGCTAAACATGTAAAGATGTCAGGAAAAATAAAAAATAATCAAAACCTCTATATCAAAAAAGAGCAGCCTTCAGGAAAATGTTTAAAAAAAGATAAAAACTGGTGCACGTAGTAAAAAAAGAAGGTATAAAAAGAGAATTTTCAAACAATCGCTGTTGATTTGAGCAAACTCAAAAACATTCCATATAATAATCTATTTAACATGTTGTATTATTATACGCTATTTATATATGCACAAATATTTAAGTAAATGCTCTGTTTATAATAAACAGTATTAACATTTACCAGCCTGAACGTCTGAGGAATTTCATAGAAAATATGCGTCCTTCCACAGGAATTGAACCTGTATCCTACACGAAACCGTCATATAGCCTAACGTGCTATACCAGTTTAGCTACGAAGGAGTGTCTTGTTAGCCAGGTCTTAAACTACAAACTTCCCATGATTTACCTCGAATGTCCATATCTGCTCGAAGTGTATCTTAATGTAAACTAATGTCACAGACTATGAAATGGACAAAGTCCAACAATTAAAAGTCTTTTTATTCTTAATGGTGTCTGCGACCAAACTTACCTGTTGAAGAAGAGTCAATATTTTCACCTTCTCTGGACTCTGTAATGATAACGATGTAGAGCAGGCTGGTTCGTCAAATGTTCATTTCATAGGTCTTACCAAAAGTGAGTGTTCTTCAAAAAAAAAAAGAGAAAAGCACGTCAATCAGCAACTGTAAACTGATTGGCTAACCTTGAACTGCCAAGGGCAGATAATCATAACTCGTATTTCTCATATCTCATCATACTGTCAGGTTCTGATCCATATTTGATTTACAATTGACCCCCAAACTTACTCAATTTTACTCAGTCTTACTGTCTCTTGTGTTTCCAACACCACATAACAACCAGGTAATAAATAGCACTCATTTTTTTTTTGTTTCCACATCTTGCTGTTTCTCATTTTTATGTGTATTTTTGTATATCATACTTATATTTTAAAACCCAGGTTGTGTGTGTGTGTGTGGGGGGTGTCTGTACGTTTATATATTGGATCGGATTTCCTACATTTTGCAACCGATTTCAACAAAACTTCACAGGACTATGTAAAATTACCTTGTGGTGGTTCTGACAGCGCTAAAAATTGGAAAAACACAATTGTTTTTGCACGAAATCAATTTGAAAACACGATTAAGAGGCATCGCGAGAATGAAAGGGGGACAACTCATATCGAGTTATACTTATTATAAAACCCAGGTTGTTTGTGTGTGTGTGTTCGTTTATATATGGGATCGGATTTCCTACATTTTTCAACCGATTTCAACAAAACTTCACTTTTTTTTGGCAGATAGTGGTTCTTATTGTCTAGCACACTTTTTTCTTTATTTTTACATTCAGAATGCTTTAAAAATTCCATTTACAAGACAATTGTTTATAATAAAATTCTATTCAATCGGTAGACTCATAATGATTGAAAACAATGTTTTTATTTGAGTTTAGGTTTGACCAATTCGTAAAAAAAATAAAAATAAAACCAAAAAAAACTAATTAAGACATGCGCGTCCGTCAAGATTAAACAAT